TTCATACAGAAAAATGCATTCTAAAATTAGGTAAGCTACTGGTGTAAGCTTTTTCTGTACAATAAAGTTAGTCGGAGTTTCTTTCTTCAGCGCTGTCTGAATCTGAATCTTCATCACTCTCAAAGTTGATTATTAAAGGTTCGATGTCTGGTCGATCAAAAATTCGTTCTCTTTTATACCATTTAAAAATTTCTTGCTCAGTATGTCGAACACTATTTTTCCACATGTCTGGGGTAACCGTTTGTAGAGCCTCGATCCACATATCCAAACAGTCTTTTTCACTGTTACCATCTCTACCAATATGTCTGTTATAGTAACCTTTTGCTATGCCCCAAATTAACTCAATAGGGTTAAATATACAATGGTAAGGAGGCAGACGAAGAACTTTGTGCCCATGTTGTTCCGCCAATTCATCAATCACGTATATTTTAGGTGGTTTGTTTCTAAAAAGCAGTTATTTTAAGAATAGGAATAAACAAAAGAAATATAAACTGTCGACCAAAATATATATAATTAAGAAGCATTATGTACCGAGCAACAATACTCAATAGCTCTGTTTTAAACATTGTGTTTAAAAATGGTATGTTTTGATTTGTCAACCAGTCTTGGATATTTTTTTTTGTCCTTGCATTGTTGGGCACTTTGTTCAATATCATGCTGTGATAAGGGGCGTTATCCAGTATAATCATAGATGGACTCTCCAATTTTTCTAATAACTGATGTTGAAACCATTTCAAAAAATTGTCCTGGTTCATCTCTCCATGGTAATCGCTCAATTTTGTTTTCGAAGAAAATATCGCTTCACTACCCTCAATAAACCCATTTTCATTTCCAGCATGTAATATAATGTATCTAAAATATATTAGTTTTAAATTTTATAGTGCAAATTGTGTAAAAGTACATACCTTTTACCATCTGTTTTAATAGCTTTCACGCTTTTTTGGTTTCCATTTTGCCAAGAGCGACCTATGGTCCCATTTTGAAATATCCAAGTTTCATCGAGGAAGACAAACTGGTATAAGGCCTCAACCTTGGCTTGATTGTATTGCCTTAGAAATTCCACCCTTTTCAAAGCTATACTTGGTAGTTCCATGAGCCCTCGTCGCGGATTGTCCTTAAGCCACTTAAATCCAAGATCTCTAAGCAACCGCCTTAAAGACGTGGCACTACCATCAAATAATGCCCTATCTCTTAATCGAGACCATAAAGTTTGTATCGTAACTTGTTCTTCTGAAACCATGTGTAATATGACATTATAATTTAGTTAACAAATTAATGCAAATTTCTGATAAGTTATTATAATAAGATCTTACTTTTGTGATACATATTATAGATCACTTCTCGAATGGCACTTGTATCCAATGTCGCTGTGTTGGTTACACGTTTAATATAACTCCGCTTTTTCTTGGGCGATTCTAAATTTGCATCACTTTTCACACCCTCGGAAATACGACTAACTGTCCTTAAACTAATTTTTAAAGCAGCAGCAACACGCTACAAAAAATGAAATAAAATTTCACTATTATTAATATACATTACATATAATTATTAGTAACCTACCTCTTGAACAGCATTTAAAGGCAACAAAGGCCCGTTGTTGTCCCTTTCTTGCTCAAAGTAGTGCATTAACGAGGCCACGAGTTCCTTACACCGACTATTTAACTGTTTGGGCATCTTTATATACCAAAATTGCCTTTATCTACTCGTAAAATGAATAATTTTGTTTTGAAACAAACAGTTGTTGATTTACAGTATGCGGGGCCAAAGGATTTATAAAGATTTGAAATGCCACAAATTGATTCAGTGTCAAAATTAATACAAATGTCAGTTCCCAGTTTAAATAAGTTTCAAGGTGACAATGTGTCAACGCTGCGAAATCGGTTTAGTGCGTTTACATGTCGATAAGTGATTGGAGCGTTTGCAAAACATTTTATTTCGCATAATGCGTCTAAATTTATCAGAAAGCAACTTATGTGATACTTTAATAACAATGTTTATATGACTATTAACCATAATAAGAGAGTAATGACCATTTTACAATTTATATATCACATTAATATGAAACTGCAATAGAGCAATTGTTTGTGATAGAAACCTAGGCATTAGGTCGGGGAATTTTTATCGTGATGACGTGCACGCCACTTTGTTTGGCGTTGACTATAGTTACGTTATCAAAGTTTATTTTTTTAAAGTTATAAAATATTTTTTTCTTCTACAAGACATTTAAATTTGTTTGGAGATCATATTATGATATTAAGCTATAAAACTAAACTAAAATTGATAACAGTATTTTTGTGCAAGGGCTCGTATTTATCCAATATTTCCATACATAGATATGAACTAATAGTTCAATACGAGCCCCTTCCCACTTCTGTTGGCCCACTTCAAGATTGATAAACTAAGCATGACGAAACTATTTACTTCTAAAACAATTTATTTTCTCAAAAACATTTTAGATACACTCTAGTTGTAAAACATACATATTTGAAATCACTTATATTTTTAACTAATAGAACATCTGAATAAATAAACAATGCGCGAATAAATGCGCGAAATTAACAAAGCAACAATTGAAAGATTACCATTGGGTAACATCACCTTTATTTTTTATTACGGCTAAAATTCTTTGTGTTTGATAAGGAAAAAAAAAACTAAGATTTCAATAGTTGGGCCAACTGAAGTGGGAAGGAGCTCGTAAATGAAGATATAAAGCTTTCGGCTAACTGAATCTTGCTCTAAATCCATGAAAAACTGTAGCATTGTTGTTTACTGAAAAAGCATCTAGAGCTCATCTTATCTCCGACTCAAAAATTAGGATAATAATACTATAGCAACCGTCAACGAAGACGTATGAGATATAGAGTCCATCTACTTGACGCCTTTTTGGAAGTTTCCCTGAGGCTAAAGGCAACTAGCAATGACCAGCAACTGTTGAGGAACTGTTATCGTGACAACTCTTGCATGTGCAGTTCTGTACCTCAGAGCCAGTCTAGGTTAAGTCCGTTTTTGTCAAAAATGAGTTTAATATGTTAAGCTTATGATAATAATGTGAATTTTCATTTGCTACATGCAGCGTCCATCTATCTTTAATAATAAGGAAGTTACGACTTTTTAGCTCATATCAAGTCGTATTCAATACAAGGCAAGAAACATATTTCATATACAGGGTGTTTCAGTTTATTGTTGCATAACTTTGAGATTCGATAGAACTTTTAAAATTAATGCATAAAGTTTATATAAACATGGGTCGAAAAATGCGTGGCTTCCGAAATACAGGGTGTTTAAGTTTACTTTCTAAAATAGTTTTTTTTGACTATTTCGAACAATATTTGATGTATAACAGTGAAAATTGGTATACAAGGGTTTTTTGGTACGACAAAACGAACCATGGTCACAGTTTTACTGTAGCCGCTAGAGGGCGCTCTCTACTGTACCTGTAGTGTATTAAAATCACCGAAAATTTTTTCTTAGTGCATTTTTTTGCTTTTTGATTAAAAAAACTGATTCTTTGCACTTTTCAACATAAAAAAGCTCTCTTGTAAATTTTCGTTATAGTTAGCCGTTTTTGAGATATTTCGAGTTTTAAGGTTCGATGCATTTTTAATTATTTATGATAAAATAACGTTAAAAAGTCAGTATCTCGATAATTTTTAGAAGTAGGCTGTGCCTGCAAATATTTTTGAAATTGAAAGTATGCAGTTCGGGAAAGAAATTTTCAGCATGAATTTAGTGTGAACGTGTGGATTGGTATCTACCGTAATCGACTATTTGGACCCTACCTTTTGCCTGCAAGGTTAAATGCTGGGACCTTCTTGGAATTTTTAAAGGCTGAACATGCAAATATGTGGGATGATGTTATGTTAGATTTAAGAAGATTGGCCTGGTTCCAGCTTGATGGTTGTCCAGCTCATTATTCGAGAATAGTTAGAAACTGGCTGGACGAAAATTATCCAGAAAGATGGATCGGCCGTGGAGGACCAGTCGCCTGGCCTCCACGATCCTCTGACCTAAATCCATTAGATTTCTTTGTGTGGGGATTTCTAAAAGAAAAAGTGTACCAGACTCCCGTAACCACAAGAGATATTCTAATAGACAGAATCAGGAATGCATGTGATGAAATAAGGCCTTCTTTTCACGTTCGATCATTCGTAGATGTAAATTGTGTATTGCACAACTGGGTTTACATTTCAAGCAACTACTTTAGATTTTGTATGTGTGTCCTAACTATCCAATAGCATTTTAGTTGTAAATAATTAATTTAATTTGTTAAAAATAATATTGAAAAATTAAACAAATTAATATTCTGTTTTTTGTGTTTATTTGGAGTTAGGAATTATTGCTGTGTTTAAAAACACAATCTAAACGATCATTTTAATTCCTTGTAATGCCCAAATCGAAAATGTAATAAAAAATATTATTTTCCCATAAATAATTAAAAATGCATCGAACCTTAGAAATCGAAATATCTCAAAAACGGATAACTATAACGAAAACTCACAGGTGAGCTTTTTTATGCTGAAAAGTGCGAAGAATCAGTTTTTTTATTCAAAAAGCAAAAAATTGCACTAAGAAAACATATTCGGTCATTTTAATACACTACATGTACAGTAGAGAGCGCTCTCTAGCGGCTATAGTAAAACTATGGCCATGGTTCGTTTTGTCGTACCAAAAAACCCTTGTATACCAATTTTCACTATTATACATCAAATACTGTTCGAAATATTTAAAAAAAACTATTTTAAAAAGTAAATTTAAACACCCTGTATTTCGGAAGCCGCGCATTTTTCAACCCATGTTTATACAGACTTTATGCATTAATTTTAAAAGTTCTGTCGAATCTTAAAGTTATGCAACAATAAACTGAAACACCCTGTATAATTATCTCAAAACTACTTATTTGGACTCAACCTAGCCTGGCTATGAAGTACAGAGTGGCGCTCTCAGGTTTATAGAATTAAAAGAATGTTCGTAAATCTATACAAAGTGAGCGTAGTCCTTACCTGCTTCTGTGAGCGGCTGGGAAGTAGCACTTCCATCGGGGGTCCCCTTACTCCTCCCGTACGAACTCATCATTCCCAATCCTTCGCAACCGCACGTGGCCATCGCCAAAAGCACTAGGACCATTCCCATAACGTCGCTGCAAGTTGGAAGCGATCTTCAGCGGTCACACCTTGAGAAGATGGCGATGGTGATCAGGAACCAACCTCCAGCTGTCTCTCGTTGCGAAGTTGACGACGGCGTTCGGGAATCACCGGTTGACAAGTTGATTGCAATCTTCGGCCGCTACTCGTTGAGAGGTTGATGACTGACTTCAGCGACCACCCGTTGAGGAGTTGATTGAGGCTTGATGGCGGAGACGGACGCGACCCTGAGCCCTGGCTTGACGGCCAAGGGCCGCGCAGGCTTGCATGCTTAATTTATGCTACTGCTGGAGGGCAACGAGTTGCATAATGGGGTTGCTTGAGAGGATATGTGGATACGGGGGTGGTCAGATATGTTCGGGAGAATGGTTATGTTCCGTAATATGATGAGATTCGTCTATACAAAGGTATACTAAGTGACGTATAAATCCGAACACCCAGTTTAAATGGTTTTATTTTAATAAAAGTTGGTGAATGTATTTATCTTACTGTAAATAACAAGTGAAAAAATTTTCAGCCTTACCAGTTGGACATTCCGGTTTTTATACTGCTTTTCTTTAATTCACTAACGCTCTAAAAATGAATATTTCAGCCGCAGTAAAGAATCAACGTTGGCGGATTTTGGTTCTTGACATCCTTTGCGATCGGTTACGATGCCTAGAGTACGGAGACCTGTACGATTTCGTCAACTTAGTGAGTTTGATAGGGGCCGTATAGTGGGACTTCGGGAAGCTGGACTTTCTTTTCGGGCAATTGCAGTTAGAGTGCAAAGAAGTGTAGACACTGTGGTTAGGTGATGTCAGGCATGGCTTCGAGAAGGCCGTACGCAAAGAGCAAGGGGCACTGGACGCCGCCGTAGAACAACAGACCGTGAAGATCGCCGCCTAAGATTATTGGCCTTAAGGGACCGTTTCTCCACTACCAGGTCCATTGCAAATGAATGGTTTGCAGAACACGGAAGACCTATTGGCATGCGAAGTGTTTACCGACGAATGAGAAGTTTTGGCTTGTTTTCATACCGGCCACACTGGGTCCTCCCTTTAACTCGAGAACACCGACGTAATCGCCTTGAGTGGTGCAGACAACGGTCACTCTGGGATCAGGAATGGAACAGTATTGTCTTTAGTGACGAGTCTCGATTCTGTTTAGGCATGCACGATGGTCGTGCCAGGGTTAGAAGGCGACGTGGTGAAAGGAGGAATCCACAGTTTTTTGTTGAAAGACATGTTCATCACACTGTTGGAGTTATGGTTTGGGGTGCTATAGCTTATGGTTCCAGGTCACCTTTAATTTTCATCAGAGGTAACATGAACGCGCAGCGTTATATCCACGAAGTTCTAGAACCCCATCTTTTACCCTATCTTGACACCCTGGCAGATCCAACCTTCCTACAAGATAATGCCCAACCACATGTTGCAAGAGTCACAATAGACTTCTTTCAACATAATGATGTCACATTGCTACCATGGCCACCAAGATCTCCCGACTTATCCCCCATTGAGCACGTGTGGGATATGATGGGTAGGAGATTGCTCAATTTGCAACGTCCTCCTCAGACTCTAGAAGCACTTCGAGAGGAGTTGGTGGTTGCCTGGAATGAGATACCACAGGAGGACATTGACCACCTGATCAGAAGCATGCCTAGGCGCGTTGGAGAATGCGTAGCACATCAGGGTGCATCCACACATTATTAAAGGTCAAAGGGCTTTAAAGCAGTGCAATCATTTTGAAATTTTTATCATTTACTTATTATGCTTCATTAAGTACTTATACAAAATTTTATTAAAATAAAACCATTTAAACTGGGTGTTCGGATTTATATGTCACTTAGCTCTTTATTACGTGATAACTGGGGGTAACTAGCTCCTCGAGAGATTCTACGATTTTCTGCCACTGTGTCGTTGTAAAGCCATTCTTAAAAACTCCTAAACCTTACAAGCGTTAAAGTGAGATACTAACTAACTATTTGGGGCGCTTACGTTCATTCATGAGCCGTTCGTGTTCTATAACTCGGCAACAATGACAATAAACGGCTAACTCGTAGTTAAGCGGATTATTTGCCTTCTATACACAGGCGAAAGCAACTGCTATATTTTGTCTGTCTCGGGGTAATTTCCGAGTTAACAGGGGCTGCTACGCGTGCAATTGGTATTGCAGTGGCCGGTTTAACGGCATTTCCTTTTTGTAGCACATTGTTACAAGAACAGCTGTATATTTTATTTCAATCGGGTTATATACGTGATAAGAGTGCAGTAGTTTTGTCGACAATAAATAATAATAATGAATTATTGATGTTAATACACAAAAAGTGCACCGGAAAGAGCACACCAGAGTGACACGAGTGGCAGATTGGCTTGAGATCAATCAGATAAGATCAACATGACCTTAGGAAAAGTTTTCTAGTTTTCGAGATATTTCCACTTTTGAGTTTTTTTTTCAAAAAATCTTTTTGGCTGTTCTGGCTATAAAGAACTTTTATCTTAGGATTTTTTTTAGAGTATTCATTTCATTGAGAACGAACACGGTATGCTCAAAAATAAGCTAAATTATTACATTTGGTTTCAAACCTTACTAAAGTTTGACTAAATGCTGTGAAAAAAGTACCCGACTGTGAATCACCAAATGACCTTAAAAACAAGCTATTTAATGTTCTTTCAAAAATAGTATAACATTTGTAGGTTATTTTTACTAAAAACTGAGTTATTCCACATTTTGTCATTGAAGTCATAATACATACGAGGGATGTCTTTTAAGTTTTGCATATGGAACTAAAACAACACGGTAGGTAGTTTTAAACGACTATATTGTTTTTCGAAGTATTCTCCACGAAGATTAATACACATCTGCATGCGCTTAAACCAATTTTCGAAGCACTTATTTCACTCGTTTGCTGGCAGATTCAAAACGGCATTTTTGAATGCGCTAACTGCTTCTTCTGGTGACTGGAACCTTTGACCACGCAGTCTGTTTTTAATTTTCGGGAAAGTAAAGAAATCGTTAGGACTTAGATCGGCAGGCTTATTACGTAAAAATTTCTAACTCTGATCGGTGAACAGCCGACCACCAACCGACTTGCGACCGATTGTCGACAAACCGGTTGCTCAACTGTCATTGAATGCAGTTTGAATGCAGTTTTTGCGACCGAAACAGCGCCACTAGCAATCGAGTAGCAACCGGTGGAACTAAAGTGACATACGATGATAAACAATCGTCGTGTTTATAAATGGAAAAATGATAAATACATTGTGGATCGTGATTGTGAATTTAAAATTAACTATGGGACCTAGATTTGAGAGTATCAGTGTTACATTTTTCGGGAATCATATAATTCCAAAAACGTTCTACTGGTTCGCCGTTAAATACGTATCTGAAAATTGTTACCCGTTGGGTTTTCCCCGAAATGTCCGTTGTTTCATCTGCTATTATCGCCAAATACGAGGCTCTGTTAATCTGTTTTATTATTTCTTCATGAAAAACTTCAAGAATACAATCCAGTAGACAGTTTTGTATTTCTTTCGAAGTTCCTTTAAATATTGTCCATTGTCTTGCACTACTCTTCTACACAGCCACAGTCAGTCAGTGAGTCACTAGTCACTCAACGTAAGACCCAAAATACCTAATTAAAAAATTGTTCGCATTCAAATTTTAAGCCACGTCACGCGACAAGACCAATATGCCAATGTCGAGGACCGATCACCGACCGACCAATCAGATACCGTACTTCGCATTAGATCAGTACGGATCTGTATAAATTGCAGCACATGCTTATGCTTAAATCGCGCATTTGATTTTGTAGAGAGAGACAGAAGCGAGCGCGTGCGGCTTGTGTCGAAGCAGTACGCAGACCCTTTTCAAGTGGCCCATGAATAATGTTACGCTGCGGTCGCGACGAAAATGACAAGTACACAATTGGTCGATTATACCTGTACTGCTTTCTCAATACAAAACAGACTCGACGCTGTCTCTTGCGGGGGCAGCGTTGCCAGTATTGTTTCTATTTGTGTGATAACATGGAAAATAAATAATGATCAAATTACTACTGCTTTTTTCTGTTAAGACAACAGTTTTGGCAGTTCTGCAGCTCTGCAGAACTTAAGGACCGGCCGCTCCTGCTGTCGTGCATCAATAAAACCAGACTGTACAACTATTTCGTCTAGTATGATTATATTAATGAGAAGGGAGTATCAAGGATATTTCTGCAGAAAATGAGTCCGCAGTGCAGTTGTCATGCAGTTATGTTACCGGGCGCTTCATAATAAAGCCTCGCGATGCAACTTGATTGACGGCTTCACCTTCCCAACACAATAACCGTGCTTCAGTCTCAACGTGCTTGCATACGTGTGTTTCTGTCATTCCTCCGGATGTAACTTTCAGACAGCCATCCCGCTTTCCAGATAATTCGTAATTGTTTCTGTTTTAGCTGATATCCGGTTCTATCCTCGGATGTTGGGTGTTTGTATGACTTGACGGCGCGGATAAATTGTTGAGATTATGAGAATCGAAAAGCAATTCGCAACATCCATTGGCGTGCCCGATTCGTAACCGAGAAGCAGGGCAATACGGATCACTCAATCTAGCTACGTTTTCATGGTTCAAATAGAATGGAACCATTTCAAAAGCACGAAGTACGCCTAACAACAAAACGAAAAGTCGCACTAAAGATTATTACATTATAAGGAAGCCTCCGTAATAGTTAATTATACGGGGTGTAATCTGATAGAGGGCTAAAAATTCAGGTTATTTTAGGAAGAAACGTTTATTTGAACACATGTCCTAAACCTCATAATTTAAACAAAAATCGTTTTCTTGTCATAACTTCAATACTGTTCTAGATATTTCCAACAAGTTTGTAGATGCGCCTACTAAGCGCCAATAGGACTTTTTTGATGTACAGTGATGGACAAAAGTATATAGACAAATATGAATATTTACCTAAATACCTTTAGAGAACGAATTCATACTTCATTGCTCCATAAACAAATGAGTTAGTAGAAAAACTAAATTCCTTGTTTTTACATTATCTTCAATTCACACAATACAAGTCTGAATATATGCACTTTTTTATGAGGGACAAAAATATGTAGACAAATTCTTTTCACCATTAGTTTAGTACAGTTTCGTGTCAGAAAAGGATTAGTTTGTGTTCATCAAGTATTGTGGAATAAGTTGAGCGATTTTAAGACCA